GGAGCCATCTCGGGCAATTTCCCGCGGCGCTCTTTCCTTTCCCGTGCCGGCCCAGGTCTAGTGCCGTCGGCCCAACCCGCCCACGTGCCTGGGCTGTGGGTCAGGAGCCTCTTGGATGAATCTGAGGCTGCGGGCGCCTCGGGGGCCTCTGGGGGGCTGTTGGGATGGAAGTGCTCGACGTGTTAGTTCGTATTCCCTATCTTGGGTTCTGTTGGGGCTGTCTTGTGGCCCCATTGAGGTTCTCTTTGGCCGTCTTGGGGGCACCAGGGGCCGTCTCAGGGCGCTCTTGGTCCGTCTTGGGGCCCTTTTGGGGGCCTTATCGACCTTCTTGTGGCGATCTTGGGGGTCCCTTGGGCAGTCTTGGAAGCTGTCAAGGCGAAACGAACGGTTGCTAAGCATGTACGTTTTCCATTGGGAATTTGGCGCTTTTTGCCTCTCGGGGCCTTCCCGGCGGTCCTCTTGGAACATTTTTTGGTTCGTCTGGGGGGCCTTGTGGGCCGTCTTGAAGTCATCTTGGGTCGTCGTGGGGCTGCTCTGGGCCGTCTCGACGCTCTCTTCCACCGTTTAGGCGCTCCGTCTGGGCCCTCTTGGGGCTTTTAGGAGGCTCTGGAGGCCCTGGGGGTGCGTTGGCGAGCTCGTGCTCCCCCTCCCCCACCCATCAAACGGCATTTTGGACCCCAGGGGAGGGGGAAGTGGGGAGGGGGACAGCCAAATGTCTCACGCCTTGTCGCCCCGGGCAAGCGGGGGTCGGCGGACCGCAATTTTTTTGTTGAGGGGTTTCGTCGAATCGAAAATAATACATATAATGTTCGTAGATCAACGCAGAAGTTATGTATTTTCGTGGAGTCGACGAAGCAATCAATTTTGGAGTGAATCGATTCTGTAGTCGATCTCCCAGCCGAGCCCTGGAATGAAGGCCACTTTGGTTTCTGAACGGGCTCTGGGCGCCCGAGGTCCTTCAGGCTTCTCCTCTCAAGCTTTGGCGAAGCTGGGGCCAACAAGAGGCATCGCTCCCTGCGTGAGGGCCCTTCTTGTGCCTCCAGGGCTGGTAGCTCGTCCCGCCTTTGCCGCCGCCAGCAGCGCTGTAAACGTCGGGATCGTTTGAGCTGCACGTGGAAGTGCTATCGCTCATGTTTCTTTGAACGCAGTCGAGGCACTGCAGCGTCGGCACCTTTCAGGGCAGGCCAGGGGGTGCCACGGGGACGCGCTGGCAGGACTTCTCGGCCCTGGGTGGTGAGGTCTGGAGCTTGTTTTTCGCACGAGCTCCGGAACGAGCTTGGCAGGCGAGCATGGCAGCACGTGTTCACACCTTCTCTCATGCCATCCGCGATCTCCACCCGTTCCCGACGAGCGTCCCGGCGGCGCGCAGGCGCGAGTGCTTGAAGCGAGGCCCTCGCGTGGACCCCAATCCAATCCGTTCGATAGGAGGGCCCAGGACAGCTGGGCACAGGGCAAGTGGAGGAGATCGGCGGCGGCGGAGGGCGAGCAGCTGCGCGGGCAGACCTGCCGCCTCGACACGTCAGCAGCCAGGACCAGGCCGCGCGCAGACGCATCCGCCGTCGTGCAGCCGCAAGCCGTGAGGTGCGCCCCGCAGCGGGAGCCGGGCAGCAAATGCGCCAGGTGGCATGTGTGACAAACTGGCGTGAGCCTGGACTTTTTTGGTCTGCGGGTCGAGAGCGGGCCTCTTCCGGTTAAGAGCTAGGCGGGGCGCGCAAAGCTCTAATTGAGGAGACAGGACGTCGTGAGCCTGGACACGCGTGCCACGCTCTGCGTTGCGCAAGCTAGGGGCAGCGGTGTCGCGGCACAGCCAGGCACGTGATCATGAGAGCTGTCCCGCGATAGGGTCCCAGGAGAGGGCATGTGAGGACCTCCACGGCCAGCAGCTCCAGGGCCACTGGCCCCAGCTGCATGATGACCCACTCTAGCAGGGACCGCAATGCAGGAAACAGCCTGCGGCGGGCTTGTTTTCGAATGTTGAAGAGGAGGCTAGCAGCTTTGCCGACAGCAGCTATAGACGCGTGCATGGTATGTCTGTTTTTTTTTTTTTGCGTGAGGACTCTTCGGGGGTGCCAGGCTTGCCTATGCGGGGACCAGCTTCTTACAGCGGGTTCCTGCGGTATGTCAGAATTTCCACCTCGGGGCATCCCTGCGGCGGCGATGTTGGGGCTGCTATCTCCCACTGCTCATTTCCCTTCGTTCCTTCCGCTTCATTGTCCGTCTGTCCACTCGCTTTGCTCCTGCCTCTTCTTCTCCCCTGCTGTTCCATCATCCCCCCGATTTTGCAGTCCAAGATAATAATCTGGCAACTCCCCACGGCACGTGTGCACTACAGGATGAACAGGATGCAAGTTGCGGAGGAGGAGGAGGCGGAGGAGAAGGAGGAGGAGGAGGAGAAGGAGGAGGAGGAGGAGGAAGAGGACGAGGAAGAGTCTTCTCCATCACTCTGATGTTGCACTTCGTCAGCTCTGCCCCTCACCATTTCCCGCTCTCCGGCTGACAGGCGGCAACCGCACTGGATGGCATGAGCCTCGACAAGTCCCACACTTTCAAGGTGGTCAAGATGGACAAGTTCGACGAGATCGTAAATCGCGATGAGGATTCCACGGCAGGGGGCGGCTCTGGGTCAAATCCAAGCAGTGTTTTCGCATACGATGCGAGTCCAGTTTTGGCGCCCAGCGTTGGCACATGATTTCAGATGCGCGTGGCTGCAGCTCAGCTCAGCTACAGTTTGAGAATGCGGCGGTGGACTTGCAAATCAGTGTGACGCAAATTGCAAAAGCGGCGAATGAGCAGTTTGGCGACGCCAATGTCGTATCGTCGAGCGACTCCAGACACCGATTCTGCTGCGCCGAATTCGAGCGGAACAAGTAGGCCGGCTTCCACGCCGCAGAGGAATAGGGCCGAGTCGACCCACCCAGATTTGGCGCAACAGCGGGGGTCAGGGGTCGGGCTGCTCGCTGGACTGCTGCGTGGGCTAGGCATCAGCGCGGGGTCGCCGATCGTCCACGACCCCAGCTGTCCCGCAGGCCGCCGACACCGATGCCGACGGCGACAGTGACGGTTATGATGATTATGATGGTGATGCTGATGATGATGATGATGATGATGATGATGATGGTGATGATGATGCTGATGGTGATGATGATGGTGATGTCGATGCTGATGATGATGCTGATGGTGATGATGATGTTGTTGATGATGATGATGATGATGATGATGATGATGATGATCATGATGATGATGATGATGATGATGATGATGATGATGATGATGATGATGATGATCATGAGGGGAACGATGTTAAGGTTGATGATGAAGATATTGATGAGGCTGATGCTGCTGATGATGATAGTGTAAATGATGATGGCGACGACGACGATGATGACGATGATGAAGAAGAAGAAGAAGGAAGACAAGGATATGGAGGATGATGAACATGACGACAAGGAGGAACAGGAACACGAAATACATGAGCGCGCCCGCATCCAACCTCAATATGAATATCGGCCGCTATAAGTTTCCCGCCCACATTGGGTTAGGACGCCCAGAGTCCAAGGAGTTGGGCGGAGCCGATAAGCCTACGAACCCACGAAGTGTGTGCCTCTGCGATAAGGCTGTCAGGCCCGCTCGTCTCAGTAGCAATGCAGTAATCTGGCCTCAGTCAAGCACGCGCTCCTCCTGGCACGCGCGTCATCCTGCAGCTCTTGACCTCGCTGCTGGAATCCAGGATAGTTTGAAAGCAGGTGGCCCACGGGTTGAGGAGGACGCAGGAACTTAGGAGGACAAGGGGGAGGGGGAGGACGGGAGGCATTACGATGGATGATGCCGCTGGCGAGAAGGGGGGTTTGCCCAGAGCCCAGGAGTTCAGAGCAGTGAAGAGCTTGAGTACCTTCTCGCGGTGCGATTTCCGGGAGTGGCTGACCGACGCGAAGTGCCGCGAGCAGCTGCTGATGCGGTACCAGGTTCCAGTCTACAGTTTTAAGGGGTTGTGCCAAGCGGGGTGAATTTATTGCTTTTCATTGTCCTTCTTCTCCAACGTACGCAGTATCCAGGGTTTCAGTAGCGGGGTAAATGAATGGCTCGTCCCTCTCGTCCTTCTCATGCTCCGCATCCAGCTTCTCCTCTTCGCCTCTTTCCTCTGCCCTCCCTCCTTTCCCCGTCCTCCATTCCGTACCCGCTCGCTGGAGCCCTTGAGACGTACTCTAGTGGCGGCCGTGATCGAGATCAGTGCTCGCATACAGCTTGGGCCTGCGCGTTTTCGTGGAAGTCAGTAAGGCGGCTTACATACGCGCCGCGCACGCGCGCACGGCATCACGCTGTAATGCGCCGGATTGCCCATCTCTCAATCTTTATTTCTCTTTTGCGTTGCATCATCCAGTTCTTCGTGTGTTTGCTACACTTACTTACCATACTATTGCCTCCCGTCGCCTTACGCAATGTCTTTACCACTGGCACTGCCGTGCACACCTGCCACCTCGCATGCTCGTGTGCCTGGAATTCATTCCCAGGAGTTCTCGTCAGGAGAACCTCCCCGAGAGCGCCCCAGGCGCCCCAGGAGCCCCAGGAGCCCCTCCCACGGGCCCATCCCCAGCAGTCCTTCCCGTGGCCTCTGCAGGAGTCCACATCAGTCTCTCACTTCGGTTCTGGCCACAGCGCAGGCGCCCCCCCCCCCCCCCCGCGCCAGCCGCATTCCTGGCTCGGAATCGCGCTACCATCTCCAGCGCTGGGCAAACTCCTGCCTTGGTACTTCTTATCTCTGCGCACGCCACTCTCGGCTCAGAGTGTCGCTCTCGCTGTAGCAGCGGCCGCATTCCTGCCTCTCCTTTTCCTGCTCCCCTTCCACCTCCATCGTCAGTGAGGGAGAGGGGTTGGCAGTTCAGAGTCAGAGCCTGAGTCCACATGCGAATCAGAACCCGAGTCCGAGAACGAGTTCGACCACGAGTCCGCCTCCGACCCTGACCCCGACCACAGGGCTGGACCGAGTCTGAATCTTCACCCAG